GCGTACCCTTCAACCTAGCCCCAAAATGCTACTTCAACTACAGCAACAAGGGAGAAATAGCCCCGTCTATCATGACTTTCTCCGCTATTTTGGTAACTGGGGAGACAAGGTGAGGGGTGAACCTTTTGTCTGATTCAATTTGATGCTTTCAAATCCGCTTAAAGAGTACTTTGGTGTCACTTAGTATAGGAAAGTGTCTGAATCTCAGATTGGAAAAGAAAATTATTGTCCTCCGGAGGCCGACTAAGGCTTATTAAATATGTTCTAGTCTTCTTATGCACATGTGAAAGTTTTTTCCTGAATTAGCCGGCCTACACTTCGACTACTAATAATGGGATAAGACCTTACTACTATATAGGATATGTTACCCTCTCTCCAGTAAGTGCAATGAAGGACTCTCGCCTCACTCGCCCATTTGACTTATGGCATCATCGACTTTCTTTTCAATCAAAGCGATTTCATAACCATAAAGAAAGACCTCTCTTTCGGGATCAGAGAGGTTGTTCTCTTGCATGGTGTGCATGTCTTTATCATCTCAGACCGCGGCACGCAGTTCACACACACTTTTGGAGAGTTATTCAGCGTGAGTTGGGTACACAAGTGGATTTGAGTAAGACATTTCAACCTCAGATTGATGGACAGTTCGAGCGGACAATTCAGATCCTTGAGGATATATTGAGGGCATGCATTATTGATTTTGGAGGCTAGTGGGATCATTTTCTACCATAAACGGAGTTTGCCTATAATAACAGCTACCAGTCTAGTATCCAAATGGCCCCATATGAGGCCATATATGGGAGGCAGTGTTGATCTCTGATTGGTTGGTTTGATCCCGGTGTGGCTAGTTTATTGGGCACAGACTTGGTTCGTGATGCTTGGATGAATATAGACTGAGGAGGATCAATTGATTACATAGTGGTTGTACCCATGGCAAGGTCATAGAAGATGTCGATATGAGGCTACACATATGTGATATCTCTTGTGAGAAGGTTGGGGGTTGTATAATTTCTTATGAGGTTCCTATGAAAATTTTTTCCTTCTATCTAGTGGGATGTATGTGTTACGAGGTAAGTCTGGATCGCTCGAGGACGATGGCACGACTGTCACAAGGATGAGTATGCATTTATGCTGATAATTTGGGATGTGTTGATGTTAATATGATATGAGCTTATGAGAAATTGAATTGAGTAACATGCGAGATCATGGTAGCTAATACAGAGAAGTCATTGTAGGTTCTTGGGTGATGTGATTGTGGCTTTAACTCTAGCGGGGGAGTCTATCACCGATGATTGGATCACATGGTCATGTACAGTTGTAGTTTCTGGACTAAGGTATGCTTGTTTTACATTTATGGTTTGATACAACTTGTGGGGATTGATACAATTAATATATACAAGAATGGAATCTTAGAGGGAGTTTCTGATATTGAAATTTGATTCTAAGGCTTATGGGCTAAGGTTGAATGAAGAATCTTCAGTCTAGATTGTGTTAATAGAGTCATATGGATTAATATGGCATGGGATAGCTAATGTGTGTGTGTATGAAGAGTTTATTTAGTTATTTGATGGCTTTGGAATGACACTTGGCACGTTTGAGGATGAATGTATGTTTAAGAAGGGCAGAATGCAATGACCCGACCGGTCCTTTTTAGCTTTAGCATTTCTTTCTGTAGTTTGAGACCTTGAGTTGCTCCATGTGATGTATTACGACTTGTTCGGGAATGATTTGGAAAAGTAACTCTCAATTTAGAAACTTTAAGTTGGAAGAGTTGACCAAATTTGACTTTTGAGTGAACGACTTAGAAACCAGGATTTGATGATTTCAATAGGTTCACATGGTGATTTTGGACTTGGCCATATGTTCAGATTTTGTTTTGGATATTCCTAGAAGATTGTGACTCTATTTGTCGGAAGTTAGCAATTTGAAGAATTGAAGAGTTTATAGGTTTTACCGGAAATTGACTTCGATGTGACCAGATTTCGATTATGGTTTTGAGATCTTGGATAGGTCCAAATGGTTGATATGAACTTGGGTGCAACGTTTAGTTGCAATTAGGAATGTCAAAGTGTTATTCAGACACATTCGGCGAAGCTGATTTTTTTTTAAAATTAAGAGATGGATTTGATCTTCGATTGTTGTTTTTGATGTTTGGATCCTTGAAATAATTTTGAATAAGTTATTTGGACTTGTTAGCATAATTGACAGGGTCCCATGGGGCTCGAGCGTGTTTCGGGTGATTTCAGACCATTTCGGATAAATTTGCACAACTAGTTTTCTTGTGTCTCTGATGAGCTTCGCGATCGCGGGAGGTGCATCACGATCGCGTAGAATGTTTTGGGAGATGGGAGCCTTGTGCTTCGCTTTCGCAGGGGTGTGTTCACGTTTGCGAATTGTAGGGGAGCTGCTCAACGTGATCTCATGGAGTAGCTTGCATTTGTGTAGAGATTGAGGCAGGCTGGAGGCTTGGCCTACGCATTCACGATGGGCAGCTCGCGTTCGCATAGAAGGGTGGTCCGTTGGTCATCGCTTTTGCGATGAGGTTTTTCCAGGTGGGTGCATTTTGTGTTTAACGATTGCGGAGCAGTGGGTCGTGATTGCGAGGGGTATACCTGGGCAGGCTGTTTTAAATTGTTATTTTGGAATTGTGCCCATTCTCGCATATTTTGAACCCTAGACTTGGGGAGGGGCGATTTTTGCAAGGAGATTTTCATACAAGGCAAGAGGGTAAGTGATTTCTGCTCATTTGTGATTATATTTAAAGAATCTACATGAATTTTAATCCATCAAATATGAGTTTAAAGGGTAAAAGTTCAATTTTTGATATGAACTTAAGAGAGTGATGTTGGGGCTTTTGATTTTTAAATTGGACCCCGATTTAGAATTTAATTTTATATTTGGAATCGTGGGATTATGAGCAAACTATATTTATGATCAATTTCGAATTTCGGGCCTGGAGCCCGAAGTTGTCTTTCTGTTGAACTTTTGATTTGAGTTAAAAATTGAATATTGTTTATATGAAATCAATTCCTAAAGCTTATATTGACTTATTGAGTAATGTTTGACTAAATTCGAGTCATTGGTGTTGGATTTGAAAAGAAACACGATTGTTGCTAATTGAAGCTTGTCGGGAGGAGGTAAATCTTTTACCTATCCTTGTAAGAGGGAATTCTCTATGTAGGTGATCTATTTGCTACTTGTTACTTAATTTAGGAGCCACTTTTTTGCGAGGTGATGCACGTATATGCGTAGCTAGGCTGTGACCATATCCGGTAGAGTTTAGCTTATGATTATGCCTATTCAAGTTTCATTGATTTTATGACTATGTGATGACTCGTAATTATGGCTTAAAATCATGTTTAAGATTATGACTTGTTGAATTGAGCATAAAGGATTATTTTTTCATGTTGAGTTTTTTAATTACTCTTTAATCATATACTTGTTTTATTTGATTCATGATTGATGGTTACGTGGCTTAATTTCTTCATGTTAAATATTATGAATGGGGTTTTGAATGCTAAAAACTATTTACTGAACTGTTGAGATAAACTAAACTACCTTATTAGCTATAACCATCTTTTAGCCATATGGGCTTTTATCCGCATCTTTATTATTATGTCTGTTACTTTTTTATTATATTATTTTATACATATGCACATGAGTTGGAGAGTTGGATATTGCGAAAAGATGAGAATTTTGGCATCAAGGAAATGGTGAACAAATATTGATTATTGATGATATTTTGGTTGGATCGAGTTGCACGCTACAATTGTATTATGAGTCGATCGGGTTGCACGCCACAACGGTATTATTATTAGTGGATCGGGGTACCCATAATTGCGCTTAGATATGGATACGTCCCTCCGGAGTAAGGTGATTACCCATGTTACTTTGGGTTCTGTGAGCACAGGTACCCAGGTTGGTGCTAGTTTGGATACTTGACTAGTGTGATATATATGATTTTGTGCAATGAGGTTTTGGTATTGGATCATGAGCATGCATTTGTCGCATAGACTCATACAGTGGCTCTTAGATATATATGAATATTGTTGAACTCATATCATGATTATGAAAAGAATTGAGATGGCTGATATTGTATTATATCTCTTTATGTGAAAAGCGTGTCTAAATTCCAAATTTACTGTGTTCTACTGATGGAGTTGATTAATGATATCATACTTTATTCCATGTTCTAATTATTTTTCATATGCTTATTTGATTTGTTAGTAAGTGTTGATACTGACCCCTCATTGTTACTTCTTCGATGTTAGACTTGATACTTACTGTGCACCGTAGTTTTATACTCATACTACACTTCTGCATATTTTTGTACAGGTTCTGAGACTGGTATTAGTTGTACCAATCGAGTTGAGTAGGAGTATTTTATTGAAAACTTCGTGGTGAGCTGCTTCACTTGATCCGATCCGCAAAACATGGAGTCCTTCTTCCCTAAATATCTAATTTTGTCTATGTATTTCTTTTCCGATAAATGTTATTGTTGTTTAGTTGAAACTAGTTACTCTCATTAGATGCTCGTGATGATGTGACATTGGGTTTTGGGTGCTTGTTAGATAGTTGTAATCGTGTTTAGACCTTGTCATTGATTATGTACTTATGATATTGATTTATGACTTATTCTGTGTTATTATTCATATCACGAATCAGTTGATGACTTATATAATTGGACTCTATTATTGTTGTTGAGTGTTGGCTTACCGGGTTAGGCGCCATCGTAGCCTTTCTAGGATTTTGGATCGTAACATCTGCGGATCCGGATATCCACGACACACCTATGTCTAGTCGAGGTACATTGGCTAAATGTATGTATTTTTGCCAAAAGATTAATTAAAAGTCCCAACATTTTTGTATTTATAATTTTGTCTCCACTCCATTTAATCTGTTTTTACTTTTTAGTCATTGACACACACAAGCTTTATTGTGTAAAAAAAAAAGAGAGGAGAAAACAAAGTCTGCTAAAAGAAGTCGCTCTTTTTTTAATTCAAGACGGAGGGTCTCTTTGGTTAAATTCTCTCCATGAAGCTTAGGAGGGGTCAAACTAATAACACAGTAAAGAACAAAACATATTCGCATACAGAACTGAACTCTGTGATTTCCAAAGGGGAATGAAAGAGTATGAGAGGGTTCTCCTCTCTAGCTTCAAGGGCTTCTTCACCTGCTTTCACAAATCTCTCTAAACAAAACCACAATTCCCTCAGACCCATTACTCCCAAACCCTCAAATCTTGACTCTGTTGCGACCACTAGCTGCACCACCACTGAACAAACTTCACCCGGTAAGTCTTCATTGAACTGGAGTTCCAACACTTCAATTGCAGCTAAAAATCGAAACCTTCAAGGAAGTAGTATTGATTACGAATATTTTACTCAGATTCTTGCAAGAAATGACTGGTATTTATTGCTAAACCATGAGTATAAAGCCAAGAGGGTTACTTTGAATCAGCAAGCAGTTGTTAGTATTCTACATAATCAAGAAAATCCATTACACCCTTTTAGATTTTACATCTGGATTTCGAATATTTGCCCTTCTTTTGCCAAGAATCAATCAGTTAAGGGGGTCTTAGGTAATGTACTGTATAGAAAAGGTCCCCTTTTGTTGTCAGCTGAGCTAGTTCAGGATATCAGACACTCTGGAAATGTAATTACTGTGGATTTGCTTTGTGTTCTGATTGGTAGTTGGGGGAGATTAGGCTTGGGGAAGTACTGTGCTGACATTTTGGAGCAGGTTTCTTATTTGGGACTCGCTTCTAGTACTAGGTTGTATAATGCAGTGATCGATGCGTTGGTCAAGTCCAATTCACTTGACTTAGCTTATCTAAAGTTTCAGCAAATGCAGGTGGATAATTGTAATCCGGATAGGTTTACGTATAATATTCTCATTCATGGAGTTTGTAAGGTTGGGGTTGTGGAGGAAGCGATTCGTCTGGTTAAACAGATGGAAGGAGCGGGATACTCTCCTAATGTGTTTACTTACACCATTTTGGTTGATGGGTTTTGCAATGCTAGAAGGGTGGATGAGGCTTTTGAGCTCTTCCGGAGAATGAAGGATAGGAATATTGTTCCAACTGAAGCTACTGTAAGATCATTGGTTAATGGGGTATTTCGTTGTATGCCACCAGATGAGGGTTTTGAATTATTATCTAGATGGTTAGAGAAAGAACCTGCCTTGCCTAATATAGCTTTTGCTTCCGTGCTACATTGCCTTAGTACTAATTCTTTGCCAACAGAAGCAGCCCAACTTTTAAGAATATCAGTTGATAGAGGTTACGTCCTGGATAACTCTACTATTAACATTGTACTGACTTGTTTAATCAAAGGATTAGAGCTTGATGATACTTGTCAGATGTTAGACTTTATCACTGTTCGAGGTATGAAGGTTAGTATTGATATATATCTTGCACTTGTTGATGTTCTTTACAAAGCAGGGAAAGTAGAAAAGGGGAATGAATATTTGTTCCAGATGTTTAAGGATGGTCTTGTATCTAACACATTCTTCTATAACCGGGTCATTGATTGCTGCTGCAAAATCAAAATGATGGACAAAGCATCAGAGGCTTTTAAAGACATGCTTCAGAGAGGTCTCACTCCCAATCTTGTAACTTTCAACACTCTTATTAGTGGACATTCTAAGGTAGGGGAGGTTGACAAGGTTCGTGAGCTACTGGTCATGCTACTGGAACATGGTTTTCGACCAGACATTTTCACATTTAGTTCACTGATTGATAGCCTTTGTAGAGTAAATCGGATTGACGATGCTTTAGACTGTTTCACAGAGATGGTAGAATGGGGAGTTGCTCCAAACGCTGTTACTTACAATATCTTAATTCGTTCACTCTGTGTCCTCGGAGATGTTGGTGGATCAATGAAATTATTAAGAAAAATGCAAGATGATGGAATAAAAGCAGATGTTTTCTCCTTCAATGCCTTAATTCAAAGTTTTTGTAGGATGAATAAGATTGATGAGGCACAAAGGCTTCTTGTAAGCATGTCGACACTGGATTTGAGCCCTAATAATTATACTTATGGTGCATTTATAAGGGCCTTATTTAACTCGGGGAGATTTGATGAAGCTAAGAACTTGTTTTTGTCAATGGAAGCAATTGGATGCATCCCCGACGCTTCCACATGTAAATTATATTTCGATTCAATTGTCCAATCAAGATGTAGTGAAGAAGCTCGGGATGTTTTAAGGGAGTGCAGGAAAAGGGGGATGCTATTGGAACCCGTTACTTCTTCATAGTATCTTTTCTTTAGGAGTGATTATCACTTAAAGCCGACAACCTACGCTGCTCGTTAGCCCACCATGAACATAACATTGCTATTGTCTCAACAGGCTGGAGCCGAATGTAATATAGGTATGACTGATTTCCTGATAAGTTACTATAGGTTTGGTGTTATAATCTCCTCTATGTCTCTGAGCTTTTCCTCGTTTTCTTCTACTTCTTTTGTTGCCCTATACACTTTTATTTTTGATAAATATGTCTGTTTGATTTCTAAGTTGTTAATTATTTTGATGTTTTTCTAAATAAAAATATACCTTCTTCCAATCTTTGCTCCTTTGGTCACTGTATTTGCAATTATAAAATCCTAATGGTAAAAGATGCTAAGGAGGCAAGAAGGACAAAAAGAATTACTAGACGGACAGGAGCTTAAATTTTATTCCTTTCCCGAAAACGATTTTCAAATGTCTTGAGAGGGAAAAGTGGGATTTAGTTATAATATAGTGCCAGTCTAATGGACTAGGACTGGACAAGTGTATAAAGTAAAGGCGCTACTCTATGACTCCTGATGATCAGATGTTGACTTTTGTGGTCATTTTGTGGTCATAAGTTTTCCTAATTAATTGACAAAATCAAAAATAGAAAGATGTCACAGGACTTTCTCAATAGACAAATATCTGTGTATTCTGTTGAGAGATATTTTCTCTTGTTTTAAATGTTTCTATTGTATGCAATTAGGTGTGACCTATTACTACTAAGCAGCAGTTCATAATTTATAATGTTAGTTGAAGCATCTAATATAACTTGTCAACTGGGAAAATTGTACGTTGGGCTTAATTTGTAACAGAACTGCTTTATTCTTCTTTGTTTCGGTGAAATATAAACAGCATTAGTCAGAGATGGCATATGCAATCATCTTAGTGGAGTCATCAGGGGTTTTAAAATATAGCAGTCACGTTTTGCTGTCGGAGCTAAATTTCAGGACTGCTCAGGATGTGTTGGCATGGAAAATTAATTCTAGACTTCTTGAGACCATATTCGTGAGGAACAGACTTCTTAAGGTTAATTTTATTTTGGTCAGCAATGGCAGTCAGATAGGATAGGGCTTGCTGTGAGGTGTAGAAATAATCTGAAAGTTATCTAATGTGTTCTCCATCATGACAGCTAGAAGGACTACAATTGCTGAATTACTTAAAAGTGCAGTGGGCAGTAATCATTTGACTTATCTTTTAGTAAACCCCAATTATGATTATAGAACGAATTGATGTAGAAGAGTCTTACAGAACACTAATTGGCGAGTCTGATAAATTAATATGGAATATCCGGTAAATAAGATTCTGATAAGTTAATATGGAATGGCGTATCCACAAGATGCTTTTCAGTGAAGTCATGCTATAACATTTTACTTAATGGGGATGGGTCAAACCCGATATAGTTGTCGTTATGGAAGTCCAAGGCACCTAACAATGTTGCTTCTTCGCATAGAATGCAGCATCAGGTTCCATCTTGGCAGCCTACAATTTAAGGAGGCCAAGAGTTACAGTGAGCTGGTGCTGTATATATAACAATCATGGAGAGGATGCTGATTACCTCATTCAACATTGTATTTTTCTTTTCATCCGATATATCAAAGAATTCATCAGTTGAATACGCCAAATGTTTTGGAAGAATGTGCAAAATGAATGGGTTACTCAACCACCGTTAGCAAATAAGCAGTCTCAATGATTCTATGCTACAGTAATTTTTTCTTTACACACCAAATAGAAATACACGAAATAAATGATTTTTATATTAATATTTCTTTCAATATTATGGAGAGTCTTCTTACAATGATGTTTTCTTTTCCTTTTCGAAATACGAAGAAGTGACTGTGGAACTACTGTCAGTAGTTCACTCAATTACTTCTTGTGAATGTCTAAACAAATGAAAAAAGATTACTCCGTGATTTTTTGAATATTCCTATGACCTACTAGTAAGAAGCTGTTGAGAGCTAGGTTTCCTGAATATACGTCTTCCTAGCCGGTCCTAAATTGATGAAGGAAGAAGCATCCAGGTGTACGTCAACATTTTAGTCGGTTTTACCTACTATTGCTAATCCTTCAATATTGTAGCTTTGAATTTTGGATTTGCTGTTTGTAATATACATTTTGTTTAATATTTCATGGGTTAAAACCAATAACTGTAGCAGAGGCAATGGTTTATTGGAGGACAAGATGGACACGACGAAGAAAGACTGCCTATGCAATTTCCATACAATTTGGGAAAAAATGGTTTAGTAGAATGTTTGAAGGATTAAAACTCCATAGTTTAAGGTTGTGTTCCTTTTGTATCTAATCTCTATTTTAGGTGTAACAAGGATTCTCCAGTTTGCACAGATAGTTGGCTTGATTTGGGTATTTTTAATTACGTTGTACATATTATATAATGTTTGTAGAGCCTTTATTAAAAAAAAGGAGAAAAGAATCATATTATGTTCGCAGAGCACCCAAAGGTGACCTAGCCGTCAATGAAGTTGGAATGGACTCAACTTCCAGTGGAGGCAAAAAAGTTAGATGATTTCTTCACATCTATTTAAGTAGTGGTGGGCAGAGTTATCCAATAACTTTTACTAGTGGGAAGTAGCAAGTACCTGGTGAAGTAGTCGAGATGCACACAACTTTGACTTGGACTACATCATCATAAATTTTTTCTATAGCACTTTCATTGTGGGATATCAATTACATAATTTTGAAAATAAAAGAATTGTTGTAGTTCGGGGATTTGGTTGAAGTCCGACAATACTTTTGGTGGTTTCAATTGGACAACGTTGTCCATGTAAAATATTTGTGCAATTGGAGATTTTCTAATAATGGTGAACTAGCAGAAATGATAGGTGCATATGTGTGAAGTGATTCCCAGTTGTAGTTCATGCTTTTAACTTCTCTGGCTTAACAATTTCTTAAACCACAAGACTTACATTATTCAATAAAAATTATTAGATCTGAGATGGTATTCTGTGGCTATCGCAACACCCTTTACTTTTAGGAGATTTCTGCAACACCTCTGAGTCTTTGGTTTCCAAGGACTTCCAATCTTTTAGCTATTGATAATGTTATAGAGACTTTTCCACTAAGCATTGTTTTAGATGCTCCTAGTAGAAGAGTATTTGTATTAAATTATTCTTGTTTTTAGGACTTCTGTTAGAAAAGTGTATGGGGTTAGAATTTTCACTCATGCATTTATGTGCCTGTACCACAATTCTAATAGATCTCCCCTTTTATATGAGGAGTGGCTTTGCTTTTCCAAGGAGCAGCAGTCTTTGATTGATCTGCCTTGGAAAAACAGCAAGTTTAACTTTAGGTATCTCTCTAGTAGGTTGCTTCGATACCGCAATTTAGTTGCCGCACCCGTGTCGACACGACACTAGTATGGGTGTGGGTATGTGATCCATGCCGGATCTGGTCAAACAATTTTGGGTACTTTGATCACGACGGACGGAAAAAGTCTAGACGAGATAGAATTTGATTCCCGAAATCATAACCAAAACTAGGGTAAATTTGAAGAAAATAGCATACCTTCTCTAGGGAATCAATCCTTTACTTATCTACAACTTGAGAATAAAAAAGAAATCCACACTTTACAAGCTATACGTAAGTATTCCACAAAATTTCTCATACTTTAGAGATATTTTTAATTATTTTTAGTCGGATCCCCGCACTTGTATCCGTACTAGGATCTGTATCCCCGAATCTTAGAATTTGCATCTCGAAGGATCCGATCTCTAGATCCGCACCCGTGTCCGAGCAACTTAATCTCTCTATAGAAATCTTGATGTTGTATATCTGATTGAGTTGCTGTTTAAGCTGGTTTACATTATAATTTGCTTGTCCTGGATTGCGAAAGTTTCACTTTGTATATCTCCTTTATAATTTGCTTGTCTTGGATTGCGTAAGTTTCACTTTGTATATCTCCTCTGTGACATCTTGATGTTTTATATCTACTGGGGTTGAAATTCTGGTAATTTTTTATATTTCAGCTTACTTTTTTCTTCAAAATGAGGATGAAGAAAATTTTTATACTTAAACTTTTAGTTCATTTTCATCCTTCTTTTATGCGCAGGAAGTGAATGAGCTGTTAAAAGCAAAGTAACATGCACTCGTTTTTCTGTGAGATTTGGAATAATAATGAGGTGCTTAATTGATCTTAAGAAATCTGATTTTCAGATCAAGGACCTGACTAAAGGAAGAAGGAGTTACTGGCTCATTCTTATCAATACCAAACCAATACATACTATGGATGCTTCACTGTGAACGCGAAGAGGGAGCCTTTGTTTAGATCTTTTACATGAAACCTGGGTGTTAATTTGTAAAAGGTTTTTCGTCTGCCTCCATACATGATGATGAATCTTTTCTTCCTTTTCATCTCTGTTCTAGTCTAGATGGAGTGAACTGTACTCATGACCGGTTTAAGTCTTTGTGCTCATGCACTTCTATGAAAGAAGTTTTTCTTAACTACTTCAACCATGTAAACAGGGCCAAACATAAGCTGGATAGCAATATAGGTTCCTGACATGTGGTTTAAGCCCCTTCTCGTAAAGGAAATGGAGATATTTGATCATTGAAAGCTGTGTTAGCTGAAAATGTTTTACTTTCAGGGCTTGGTCTTTCACCTTATTTCAATATTTCTCCTATCTTTCCCAGAAGTACTACTGGCTAAGGAATCATCAAAAGTTCAAGATACATCCCCCCCTGTATCAATGTATTTCTATTACTTGGTGCTTGAATGAGGAACCATGACAAGGACTAACGATTTATAAGTTTGTTCCCAGTCACATGTAACATTTTGCTAATTTGAACACTTAAAAGTGAATTCTTGATATTCTGATCTAAAGAATGAATGTAGGTCTTCATATTGTCCCTTATTCCTACCCACCGAAGCTACACTGGCTTGCTTCTGGAGGTTGGGTTTTCTGTTGCTGCTTTCTGACCTAAGACTAAGATTTTAAGTTATCATATTCCTCCATGTAACCTTTAAGATTTTTGCTATGTATACATGAAAAATAAAAAATGTTTCCCTACCAGACCCTGTAAAACTTTTTTGTTTCTAAGACTTGGCATGTATAGTTACCAGATACTTGTATGGGTGGTAGTAGGTATCAATGGAAGAGTTATGGTGTGCGAGCTAGCTCTCGTAAAATTTCTGTTGTATTTATTACTCGATGGGTAGAATTACCCAATATATGCGAGCTGGCACCTCATAAAGCTTTTTTGGTTTTAGGATTTGGTTAGGTGGGAGGTAAAAGGTACTCAATAAAATAATTGTGGTGTGTGCTAGCATATCTGAACGACATAGTTATAAAAAAATTGCCCTTTTCGTTTTTGCTTTTTATTTTAATTTTTAAAAATGCCTTCATGGCGTGAGTTGGGCAACGAACGACACTACATCCAATAGAACTCTAGAAAATTGGAGAGCAGTACTATGTAGGATAACTTCCAGCACAAGAATGGATCTTTTAGGTTTGATTTCTAATGCAAAAGACCTCAAGCAAGTAATGGCCGTTGCAGTTCAACTGCGTTCTGCTTTTAGTCACCTTTTTAGACCGTCCAATATTTTAAGTTTCCATCGAGCAGATCACCCATTTCTTTTACTTTTCCCCATGAAATTTCTCTTGTTTTACTTGACTATTGTAGATTCTTCAGTTACAAGCTTCGTTACAATTCCATACCATAATTGAAATTTTCAAATATAAAATCTACAACCATCCTCAATGTAGAACATTCCCCAAAAATTTGTTGTTTTAAATCTTGGAGAAATTATTCACTTTCTGGAATCTATTACGTGTGAAATACAACAGAAGATCTTGGTTTCAGGCACTACTTGCTTTATATATAATCAGCACAAACTTGTCCTTTCTGAAATGTCTGTCATATACTACTCATTTTTTGAGATGGCAGTTTCCATTAACATGAAGTATTCTCTTCAAGCTTTAGCCGTGACTTGCATCTTGTTTTTCCCCTTCACACTAGGTGACATGCTTTCTACTTTTCTTCTTTTTCCAATGTTAATCTTCTAGTCATCTGACAGTTCATGTGAGTGCAAATTGTTCTTCACAGGGAAAGCAGATGATTATGGGACTCAAACCGCAGCTGCAGGAGTACTTGAAAATGAATATCTGCCAAATTATCGAGGCACAAATGGAGGATATTCATCGCAAAACGGAGATTATCCTCATGAATATGAGGGCGGCACTGGCACAGCTGATGCTCAACCTGGCTATCTTTTCTCTAAAGCTTTGCGATGTTTCAGCGATAAGCAGGTAAGTAATTCTTAGACATCAATGTTCTCACTTAATCTTTGCCTATGTTGCAATTAAGCACGAAAGCATCGCTTATATATGTGAGTTTATAGTTGGAAATAGCATATATATGGAATACAGTTTGAAATGCAATAACTAATGATGAGTAACTTAGTTTAAATGAAGCTGCAGATATACACCAGTTGTGAGGAGGCTTATAGACTGACTGAGACAGGGGATCTCAATGTACCACCTGAATATACCGATCAATATTGCAGCGGACCATGCTTGAAGGAGACACACCTTGTGCTAAATTGTCTTGGAAATATACTGTCACACTTCAGATTCTATAATAAGGCCACCATTAGGGAGCTCGAAGAGACTATCAAGGAAGGATGTAGCTATGGCCCCAGAAGAGGTTAAACTTTCTCCAGTCCGTCTACTTTACTATACAAAAATGCGCGAAAGATATATTGTTGCAAGTGAGAACATTTTGAAAGAAAAACTTAGAGAACATGCTGATGTTATGCTTTTTCTCTAGTATCGAAAGCAAAATTCTTGAGGAGAATATTACCCAATACTACATGATATACTAACCTAATTCTGAAAGGATTTTATCATTATATTTTAACTTGTTGTAGCAGGTAACCTGTCTTATTTTTCAGATTACTAATCCCACCTCTTATACCTGAAGTTGTCTTTTAGATGACTTGAGTGTAAAAATTGTTTTACTATAGAAGTTGAGCTCATTGTACAATGTGGCGACAGGTTACTTCAATGTTGCTGAGCACATCGAAGCTGATGGTGGCACTGCTCTTCGCGCTCCCAAGTTCATGCTACATGGTGTTGTTCTTATGTCTTTGACACACATTTTCTTCCTTTAAAGAAATGTTGAAGTAAGGGTATTGATAGAAAAAGTAGCTTATAGATTTAGATGGAGCATTCTAGTTTTTGGTGTTGTTCAATTTGACAAGTGGTAATGCTGGTAGGTTGTAGTGAACAAAAGCCTATCTGTTCAATGTTTGGTGTTGATCTGGATAAGAATGTTTTCAGCTGTAACATTTATTTCTTGGAAATTCTTGTTCCATTTGGGCGATTGTTGTAGATAAGCACCCCAGAGTGTTTGTTAGATAATTATTCATTTCTGAATTATATGACAAAATTAATGTCTATGCTCGTTAATTCATCTGCTCACCATACCAAAAGGCAAAATTCCTTGCAGGAAAAATAGCACTGAGTAAATTTACAGTCAGATCAGTTGTGGCAAGCTTCTCTCTTCAAAAGAAAAGCCATGTGATCGTTATTTTCAGACGAAAGGAAAAATGAAATGGGGTTGGATAATCTTTAAGGACGGGGCGAGGTTCATTGCAAATTAACATTCTACCATTTATAAACGTGAATCTATAAATGAAGAGATTCGAATTTACAGATATTCATTTCCCAAAACATACGATTATACTTTCTTTCTTGAACGATATCTTCTTAAACTAATTTTTTTGTTGCGAGTTATCTTTTTGTGTGGACCTCCTCAATCAGTACTGCAAATCTTAATATATAGTACATGCGACAACTATATTGAGGAGTAAACAAAGGGGTTCATGACGATGAGAATAATTAAGATTGATAAAAGAAATGCCATAGATATCTCAAGGACTCAGGGAGGATGTAGCATTTACGTTACGGGTCAATTGAACATAAAACTCTCGATATCGAGCATAAATTTATGTGTATAATCCACTAAAATTATAACAAATTATATATATGAATTCATAGCTTTAAAAATATAATGTGTTTAATACTAAGAAGTTAAACCCATAAAATTTCAATTCTGAATCTACCTCTGGAAAGACTCATTTCAAAAGATGAAAAGCATGCCGTGGGGGACCAAAAATAGGATATTAGATCCCTCCCTCCTTGGTACAAGGACACATAAAAAGGTTCCATACTGTCTACACCCCTACGAAACGAAGTGCAAAGAAAGTTGTTTTGAAAGGGTTTATCCGCTCTCTCTCTCTCTCTCTCTCTCTCTCTCTCTCTCTATATATATATATATATATATATGTTTACCCTAAAAATTGAGTAACAATTAAACTTATATTGTGGTTTTAAAGATATGTGATTTAAACCAACACCAATTGATAAACAACGAATTAAATATATAAATTGGACAATAAAATAAATCAAACCGGTCTGCAAATAATGCCTCGACCTCGATTCGAGATAGTCTCGAGGTTACTTAATAAGAACAATAGAGGATGGACAGTAAGTAAGACAAAGAAAGCAGCGTATATGTATATTCTTATCAGTGAATCATGATGCCATACAAATGATTGGAACTCCTCTTTATATAGTAGAGGAAACCTAATTATGGTATGTCTCTAATTACAGAAGGATATCGTATAAACAGCTAGTTAACCGCTTCAGATTTGGTCCGTTCTGAGATTCACGCCATGATCCTCGACCAATCACGGATATCCGTCCTGAGATTCATGCCGTGATCTTCGACCGGTTACTGATATCTCGCCATTCCGTTATTATGCTTCCCTCGAAGTCGGTCATACTTGATCTCGATTGTTGCTGGCCTCGGTCTCAACATACACTTCGACCTCTAGGCTTGATGTCTCATCTTCGAGCTCGGGTCTGATTTATTATGAGGCTACCCCTGATGCAACTCCCTTATCTCGATCAAACAGCAAAATCGAGTAGGCCCGATTTTGACCGTATACAGGTAGTCCCCTTGTTTCTTGGAGTGTAACGAGAAGAAACGAACTGAGCCTTTGATTTAGTACCTCGATCAATTATTTCGTCAACATCGTGACGTAAGCGACAGTGCGATTGAAGCGTCGCGTCTGCGCAGTTCCTAAGGTCATTAATTAACGCCAGTTGATGGTCGGCCACCAGTTCTTTCAAACCGCCAAAGTGGCTATTATAAATAGACCACCTTCATAATCTTTTCAAACTTTATATTCAAACTTCTTCTAATCTTCGAAAGCTCTTTTATTCTCTTCAAATCCATCAACTTTGTCGGTTTCCGTTTGCCAATCTCTTATTAAAATGCAAATTCCGCCTTTTCCTTCCTTAAACCTCATATAGCAATGGAAAAAATATCAAAGACCGTTCCTCAAGAAGAAAAGGCCTCCTCATCGCGGCCGGCTGGTGGCAAAACACCGGTGGAGCCACGTATCGAAGAGTGCATCCCTGGGCCATGTGAACTTACTTCCGACTTTAAAGTCGAAAAACCCTCTTCGGTTCCTGGCCGATGTGAGCCCATGTCTAGATACATCTGTTCGATATCCGAAGGCGATCTCGAGCAGGTGAAAAAGGACTGTCATTGGGAGAATAAAGAGGTGGTGATTCCTACCCCCGAAGAGGACATCACCACTCATGTGAAAGGGTTCTTAAGTGTGTATACTTACCCTTTCACACTGGGTTCCGTCGATCCCGTCATAATTGACTTCTGCCGCCAATACCGGGTAACCCTAGGCCAGATCTTCCCCTCTTTTTGGCGTATTGTCATTTTGCTCAGATTCTTCTCGAGCAAGATCGAAGGGATGTCTTTCACCCTCGATCATCTAATTAGGCTATATAA